GTGTACGCCTGAAGTTGTGTATAGGAGTCATGCTAGGTTTATACCATAGTCTAAATTGATCTATTTTTGAAGACTAGTATGGTGGATTGTGTGTGCAAAGATTGAGTTGTATTATGTTCTTCCGCTGCATAATACTTGGCAAAACTCAAGCTCTGATGTGTTTCCCCTCTTATGGATTGAAGACTACTGTATTCAAGATAATCTATTGAAGATGTCACAGATACTTGAGTCCTCTCAAGCCCACTCATGAAGACAGTCTTCGTTCAGGATGGTAAGAATCACATAATCACTGATTAGTGTTATACGAAGACCTTGAAGAATTTCAAAGAAGGCCTTGTTCCAAGGTGATGGAACTGATGTTCTATGTGATGGTGGAACAAGGATGCAGCTACTAGCTGAAGAGCATATGTTTTGGGTGTCAAACAAAGGGATACCTTTGTTTGGAACCTACTCCTGACCTGGAAGAGGAGACATCTGTGTGTGCAAAGTTGACAATGGTAAAGTCAACTATGTCTGTGTACTCCCGAAGGTTACGTTAGAAGTCAGAACTCTAGAAGTAAAGCTGGTTGAGATATGACTTTGATCAGGGCTGAGCAGTTGTTCCCTGGAGTACTATGGTGTGAAGTAAAGACCAGCTCATTGGTTAATAAAAGCCAATGATGGTACAGCATTATTGTTTCTTCATAGAAGTAGATTGGGATCATGAGTCTTGGCATTTAACCATCGTGATTAGAGGTGGAAGACCTTTCAAGAATATGAAGACTCAGAGTTTGGTTAAGGTATAACTCTTGGAGGGAAGTCATATGTCATGTCGAGACATTTGTGCACAATGCATGGATATTCTGTGTGGAGCTTCCATGTCTGATAGCTTGAGGGGAAGATTTGGTTCACCTCCTCACATTAGTTCAGCCTGGTGTTTAGCTGGCTGTTGACCTATGTCACATGGGTTCTGGGTGTTATGTGACATATTTGCAAGAAAGGATTCATCTCTCTCATTCCTAAGGATGAATCTGATCTGGTAGGAGTCTCAAATCGGTTGAAGTAAGTAGAGTTTGTTCAGAGAAAATTCTATTTACTTGAGTCAAGGGTGGCAACCTAGATATCTCAACTCTTTGGTCTCTCAAAGAAAGAGCTTGCAAGAAGAAGATATTAACACACGAAGAGTATGTCAAAGTATTCAAATGGTGAAAGTATCTTACTGGATAATGGGAAGGATTTATGATCAATTGCTATTTGTGACAAGTACAAGTATTTAATTGACTATCCTTGGAGTTCAAGATAACTGATGTTCTTAAAGGTGTGGGAACATTCCTTCTTCTAGACCCTGTGAAGAATCACAGGAAGAGTGATACCTTAGAGCTATTTCCTTGGTGACAGCAAAATCATTTGATCCTTGAAAAGGTTTCCTGGAAACATGTTCAGACTAAAAGCCACAAGAAGAAGAAGACATCATAATCTTGATGAGGGTCACTTGGATCAGTCTGGAGCTGAATTCAACAACTAGATGTTATAACATAATGCTGTGACATTTGGTTCAACATCAGATTCTTGATTGGTAAAGTGGCACATCAACTTAAGATAGGATGATCTACGAAGTTGAAAATTAGATCCTTCAAAAAGATCGTCTCTTTGCAGCTCCTTTGGAGTTGTTACATGTTCCTGACTCGGTGTATCTAAGCCTTTTGTGATAACTTGTAGCTTGAAGTTCAAATTTCAATTGGAAGATCAGAATATCTTTGGGAAAAGTCTGATAAACATGGAGAAGTCAAAAGGTGGCAATTGATTTTCAAACAGTGGCATTTGGTCTATCTCAGCAGTGGACTCTAAAAATCAAGATAATCAACATATGACAGCTGATTATTATCGAGAAAGTTTGATTCACAGTATGAATGCGTTCAACCAATATTATTGAACAGAGGGTGCGCTCTTGAAGACATGAAGATGCGTCTTATGTTTTCCATTCATCAAGGGGTCCTATTTACCTTGAATCAGAAACCACCTTGAAGGTCCAACTGAGTATTGAATGTGTCCTACTTGTTTCCATGAGGAGAAGTGATTGTCCCTAATAGGGGGAGTATTGGGTTGTACAAAAGGTCTTCATCAAACTCGTAGGATATAAAGTGTGGCACCTTATTAACTATTGGAATGATGTGTTCAAAACTGAAAAAGACTATGTCTGACCGAATGTCATCACATTGGTAATGACCTTGTTCCTAATTTCCTCTAAAACTACAGACAGGAGGAAAATTGGATGAAGTGTGGATTATTATTAATAAATCCATGTGTGGACAGCTGTATGACTCAGAGGGAGTAACCATCCTCTTTGTGAAAATGGAATGGTTTCAAATTAGCTGAATGTATGACGACATAGGATTTGAGCATGTTTTCATCTGCTAAGAAAACAGGGCTGTTGTGTCTCATTATGGAGCTGTTTAGTGAGCTGGAATGTTTAGATGATAACTTGTCATCTAATAAAGGTATTATATAACTGAGGCAGAGTACTTAAAAGGTGTAGTCGGTTCTAAAAGACAAATGTCTGACAATGGTCAAAGGGTCAAACCCAAGGGTAGGTACCTGTATTAAAACCAGTCCTAGGGTACTGAAACTGTCAGAGTAAAGTACCAAGATCGTTACTATCTATGCCAAAATTGCATTATTTATGAAGACTCTCTCTATTCTTTCTCTTCATCAGAGGGTTTCAGCAATATGAAGTTTGTTAGCATCTGGGAAAATTGTGCATGGGTATGGATTTGTATGGGCAGTCTTTGTCAAATTTTGGCCAAAGAGGGGGAGAAAGATAGGGACCCAGTAGTCTCAGGCGAGACTCAGGTGAAAGCAACACACGGCAATGTCCAGCAAGACTCAGGTGAAAGCAACATGATCCTTAAAGTAAGTGACTTTGTTTGTGTCTTGTGTTCTGAGTTAAGAGGATAGTTGTGACTTGTGATCTGAGTTACATGATCACAAGTAATAATCTTGAGAAAAGAAATCCTCTTGGGGCATCGATGGTTTGGAGTTGCTCACAGTTGAAGATAGAGGTTTGTTGTTTGCTCAAAGGACATCAGCCTCTACAAAAGAAGATGTTAGACAAGATGTTGTAACATCTCAACTGTGTTGTGGCCTGGTCCCAAAATACAACTTGCACTTATTTGTTTTAGCCAAAATTTGCCAAAGGGGGAGATTGTAAGTGCCCTGGCTGGAGAGTTGGCTTCATTTGTAAAACAAATAAGAAAGCAAGTTTACCCAGATCCCCTCTGTTGTTTTAATATGTGGTGTTGAAGAAGTTCAACATCTGGACCAACATGTTATGTAAGATGTCACAACATCAGCATGTGACATCGCGCCTGAAACTAAGTACTGATTAAGTAACTATGTTATATGTTGAATGTTTGTAACAGCTGTGACTTATAACCTAACTATTCTAAGTGATCTAAATTATGGAAGAGGTTATTTGTTGTGTTGAAAAAGTTCAACATCTAGGAAAACATGTTAGATGTAATGTCATGACATCTGACCTGACATCACGTCAACAGAATTGATAATTCAGTTACAGTTCTGGTACTTAAATACTCTGAGAATATATGTGGCGTTTCTTGTGGAGAATCTGAAGATCAATCAAGAATCAATCAGAATATTTGAAGAAAATACTGTTTCTAAATATGGAGATATTTTAGGAACTAGAAGATTGAAGACCTTGATTATAGGAGAAGTTTGCTGCTGAGTTGTAACAGCAAGGAGAAAAACTTGCTGAGTTAGGTAATAGGTTATAAATAGCAGATTGTAACCTAGGGTTTAAAAACACACATAATGTAACATTGGGGGTGTTTTTGTCAGGAAAACATGTCGGTCTGTGGCAAGGTTACCATGTATGTAACTCGAAACCTGTAGGTAAGAGTTTGAGTGTTCTTGGATGAAGCTGTGAAGCAAGTCTAAGTATTTCTGCATTACTTCATATTCATTGTAATGTAGTAAACCAAGTGGGAGGGCACTGCTTCTTGAGTAGGAGTAAGACTTCTGTTGTTGCGACAATAGGAATGGAAACTGGTAGGTTTCTATCTAGGAGTTCCTAGGTATAGGTTGCACTGGGTAGATGATTAAGTGAAGGATGGGAACTTGTGAAGTTTAGTCCTGAATTAATATTGCTAATAGTGGATCTTCTTCCTGGCTTGGTATGCCCCCAGAGTAGGTGTATTTCACCGAACTGGGTCAACAACTGATTTGTGTTTTTACCTTCAATTCTGTCTGTTATATATCAAGGTAAAACTGTAACGTTGTAACAGATGATGTCTCAGAACTAGTTAAGACTTCATGCTGATATCTGTGCAGAAGAAACAGAACTGCAAAGACTGTTTGCTCTCTGCTGATCATGTACCACAGATGAGCAGAACTAGGCACATCGGTGTTCTATCCTCTGGATCTTCAAAGTAGATCTGGCACAGCTTGGTTAAACTGTGCTTCTGTTACACTTCAGTACCGAATCATAAAAAATTGGGTATCTACCTTGCAGTGTATTTATTATGTCATATCAGATGTTTAGACATTGAGTATAACATCTGAAGACTGGCATACACCAGAATTTCAGTAATAATAAATACTATATTTTTAATCTATTTCTTACAACCACATTTTGTTTGAAAATCATTGAAATGGGGGGATATGCTGGAGAAAATAGTTACCAAGACAACCCCTTTGATAAGCTTCCAAAAGCATTACCAAGACCAACATTCAAACACTATTAGAACTTGGTGAAGGTTGTGAATGTGGAAAGACATAAACTCTAACCAATGAATTTTAAAAAGATTTGAATCATAAATGTCTCTCCCTCACTCACTCACCAATCACCTAGCTGAAAGAGAAAGTTTAGACCCCACCTAAAAACTACAACCATAATAGAGTGAATGAGTGAGTGTGGGTACCATTTTAAAATACACTATTATTCAACATTTTGGCCCTTTTAATCTCATTGTTACTCTCTACACTCTCCTCACTCTCTTTGCAAAATGGAAAATGGATTACCCTTACTTCATTCTCTCTTGCAGCATACTCTAAGAACCACTTGCTCATTTCCTACTTCTTCAACTTCTTCCAAATGGGTCTATGCTGTTTTTTGGAGAGTTGTACCAAGAAACTTTCCTCCACCAAGGTAAGTACTAATGAACATAAAATGTTAAAAATCCATGTTTTTTTAAGATAGAAAATTTGATTTTATTATGTTATTGTTTTCTAAGGTGGGAATTTGGAGGGACTTCTCTTGATCGTTCCAGGGGAAATAAAAGAAATTGGTATGAGTTCTATTTAATGAAAAAATGTTTTTTTTTTTTAATAAATAATAGTAACATGCAATGTAGAATATTATTAAATGAAAAAACATGTTTTGTTTGTTAGGATTATTGTATGGGAAGATGGATTTTGTGATTTTAATGAATGTGAGCAAAGGAAAAATGGATACATGAATGAAAGATTTGGAGCTGATGTATTCTTCAAAATGTCTCATGAAGTTTACAGTTATGGAGAAGGGTAAGAAAATTAAAAAAAAATTTAAAAAAAAAACTTTTTTTTTTGTATTAGAGAATTTGATATATATATTGTTATTAAATTGTGCAGATTAGTGGGGAAAGTTGCAGCAGATAATAGTCACAAATGGATTTATAGTGACACTCAAAATGGATGTGAATCTAACTATACTGGTCCATGGAATGCTTCAATTGATCATCATGTAAGAGATAATTACTATTTGAAAGAAATTAATTTATTCACATTTTGTTTCATTTTTCTAAAATCTAAATATTTTGATTCCTTAGCAACCAAAGGCATGGGGGGTTCAGTTAAATTCAGGCATTCAGGTTAGTAAATTGATTCAACAAGAAAAATACAATTTCATTTTCATTTAATGTGAATGCAAATATAATAATTGTTCAAAATTTATTTAACTAATAATGCTATCAAATTATTATTTATTTTTGGTAGACTATTGCTCTCATTGCTGTCAAAGAAGGCTTAGTACAACTTGGTTCATTTAACAAGGTAAATAATTATTTTAGTTTTTATATTTACGTGACAGCGTTAAGATAATTCTTAAATGTATCGAATTATAAAAATATATCTAAAATAATTTTTTTTTAATTTTTTTTATTAATTAGTTCGATCTTCGAATACGTTTTTTGTTAATTGATTTCATTTGTAACAAGTTGTGTTCAGATTGCAGAAGATCTTGATATAGTGCTCAACATACAAAGGAAATTCAGCTACCTCCAAACAATACCAGGACTATTTTCAATTCAAAGACCACCATACACACCCTTTCAACATCCATATATTACAAAACCTAATTTCCAAATCATTGAAAACAATGAAATTTCTAAGAACCAAGTGACCAAACTCAGCAATCTACATGAAGAAAGATCCAACTATTTATCCATGCTTTCCATAAACTTAGGTAGAAATATTCCTCCACAAAATGGAACATCAATTCCTCCTCTTTGGTCACCTCAACCTTCTTTACCAAGCAATCACAAAGTAAAGATTGAAGAAGGAACATTTCATATTGATGATTATGCTCCTAACTCTTAAATGAATGTAATCACTCTTAATGTTAGTAGTTTGCATGTAATTAATGATGTATTATGAGAGATTGCTGAGTTTTGTACCATTATGGTATAGGTGCCACATTTTATGTGTGGCTAAAATTCAATCAATCATAGCTATGTACTATGCTTCTTCCTTTTGTGTATTAATTCTAAATATAAATGCAATGCAGATAATATCTGTTACAAATTATTGTGCACTAACATTTCACACTTTTTTTTTTCCATTATGTGAAAAGACACTGTGATGTTACCTCAACACTTGTGATTGGATCCCATTTGTCTAAAAAAAATTCTATTCCATATAAAATGTTTCATAAAAAACTTAACATAATTAAAACATGTTATTTTGACACATAAACACTTAATAATAAGGACGCAAATTCTAATTTAACTGACAAGTTTGTAAATTTTAGTTCAACTGTTATTAGGATTCAAATTTTAAACCTTGCAAGTGCGTGTAAACTTTCAATTAATCTCGAGATTAGGTCAAATCAGAGAGTAGAATACTTAAATCGAATTTATAATAAACTTTAAAGATTTGAGTATGTTTTTTGGCAGGTCTTCTCTAAAAAAAAATTTAACAATAACATCAAATTTTATTAAGATTCATAAAGGTGATATATAAAAGCTTCTAGGTCTTCTCGTAATGATAAAAAGTTTTTTAACAATAATATCAATTTTCATTAAGATTCATAAAGGTGATATATAAATGCTTCTGGAGTAAACATTTAAGCAGTGGTATGAAAACTCTAACAACTTAGGTGAAAGGCAAGAATGCAAGTGGGGTGGGACAAATGTGTCAGAGCAATCCCTATGAAGTATGGTGTTCAATTTTGTGGGCTGTGTTTTGAAAATGAAATGCAAGAAAAGAGTGATAATTGAATTTCAATGTCTGCATCAAACAAAGCTGTTGTATGCGACAATTACTATTTGCCTCTGGTCCCCAACAGCCAACAACAACAATTTACTCTTTTTCCCCCTAAAATTTATAGGTCTATGACTAATATACACATATAAGGACATAATATAATCTCATTGGGTCGCTTTATTAACATGCAAATTAGGAATAATTGTTCATTTAGAGAGTTATATCAACCTATTATGGTCAAGTATATGGTCTCTAGATTTGCTATCTTTAAGGTTTGTTTATTAAAATATTATTTTAAATAGTTTTAGTCCTTTTCATTTTATTATATTTATATTTTTTGTTTTCAAAGTTTCGATTAAAAAATGTTAAATATATTTTCAATTTTTTTAAATATCTCAAATTTTACATTTAGGTTCTCAAAACAATTTCTTGGAATAATAATTTTTTTAATTTTTTTATTCACATCTTTATTTCTCGTTATCAGAAACTAACATGACATGATACGTGGCAATGTCAATGTGACAAAGATGTTGATATAGATTTGATTTGACATTTTGTCACCATTATATATATATATATATATATATATATATATATATATATATATATATATATATATATATATATATATATATATATATATATATATATATATATATATATATATATATATATATATATATATATATATATATATATATATATATATATATATATATATATATTAAAATATTTAAATTTATAGAGATTTATATTGCTAAGTCTGTCGTTAATATGAACATGTAAAAATCTAGAAACTGTAGCTAATTTATAGCTTATCCTTAGCTAATTCAAACTTATCCTTTTACGACCTATACTTCGTATTTTTTTATTTTCTTTAATAACGTTTATCACATTATAAGAATTTCTCTCACAAAACTTTTTTTTTTTTTTTGAGTTGAGATGAATTTTTTTAAGAGCCAATTTTCTATGAACCGGAAACAAAAAAAAACATTAGCATATCATTGGATTTTGAGCTATTATTTTTTAGGAACTTATCTCATAACATATATAAAGTATCTGTAAAATTTCATTATATTTCGAAAAATATCTCAATTTGTTTTAGTTTTTTGATCGAAACATATATATGTGTGTGTTTCGATTAAAAAATCAAAATAAATAAAAACTTATTAAAAATGTCATGAAACTTCGCAGATCATTTTTATGTGTTATTATGTAATTCCTTATAAAATATTAGCTCAAAATTCAACCATATATCAAGGTTGCGTTGTTTCCATTTCATGGAAAATCAACGCTCAAAAAAATTTATCTCATACTAAAAAAAAACTATTTTGTGGGAGAAAACCTTATAATTTGATACATTAATATAAAAAAGATTAAAGTATGTCAGCCTATATATAATTAATAGGGTTAAATTTCTCATTTCGTCTCTTAAAAAAAACACATTTATATGTGTTTCGATCGAAAAATCAAAATAAATTGAAACTTATTCGAAATTTCATAAAAATTTATAGATCCTTTTTATGTATTATAATATAAATTTCTGCAAAATATCAGCTAATAATTCTTTCATGTGTAAATTTTTGCGTTGTTTTTGTTTCAAGAAAAATTGACACTTAAAATTCATATTTAATTCATCTTAACCAAAAAAATTACATTTTTGTGGACAAAGATCCTTATAATGTGATAATTATTCTTGTAAAAAATCATGGAAAAAAACAAGTCTAGATCATAAGAATGATGTGTTTGAATTGGTTAGAGCTTCGCTACAAATTAGCTACGATTTATGGATTTTTGTATAATGTTTATGTTAGCGATATAATCTCTATCGCTATAAATTTAATTAACATAAAAATATGAAATGGTGACAAATATCACGTGGCATCTATGTCAATATCTTTATCATGTTAGCATTGCCACGTATCATGTCATATCAGTTTCTTTTAAAGAATGTTAGTAAGAAAGAGTAAAAATGTGAACGAAAAATATTAAAAGAATTATTTTTTGAAAAAAAAATTTTTAATTAAAAGTGAAATTTAGATATTTAAAGGGAATAAAAAACAAATTTAATTTTTAAGAAAAATATAGTTTTCAGCTTTTATATTATTTTTTAAAATCTTCTTAGTTTAGTTATTTTTACTAACATATAGCATTCATTGTTGAACCGACAATTTATCGAGTCATATGGCAATTATGAGTAAAAATATATTAAACTGAGTTAGATTTTGCAAGACTTAAATTTATTTTATCAAAAAATTTAAAGTCTGAGTCTAATCACTAGTTTATTTTAGTCTTAATTGTGAATTTTTTTAAAGCTTAAATGTAATTTAGATCTTTTAATTTTGATTTTTTAAAATTGGTTTTAGTCCTCTTTAATTAAAAATCAACTTTTTAATCCTTAAATGATATTTGTTGAGTTTTTTAATCTTTTAAAGATTTATTAGTTGTAACGACGTGCACAATAATCTTATGATACTATATAAGATAATTGTATTACATCATATTTTTTAAATAGAAATAAATTTTAATATGTTTTTTTGTCAGAATATTTTTGTAATTTTAATATTATTTAATATAATTAAATAATATCATTAACAATTGATATTATTGTTATGTGATACACAATGCACAAAATAATAATCTTATTTGTTAGTTTTGCTCTACTTTTTTGTCAATGTTTCCACCGTATAAAACACTATATATTTATTTGGTTAGAGTAGTTTTGAATTGAATTAATCTTTTCACAATATTTTGAATCATGTTATACTTTTTTCTATTTCATTCGAGTTACAAATATAATTAAAATATTAAAAAATTGTTAAATGTATACATTATGATATGGTGTTCTTAGTAACGATATAATTAGGGGTGACAATTAAATTCATTAAGACAAAATTTATCTAATTTCATTAAAAAATTTATTTAATTTATCCATTAAAAAATTCATCTAATTTATTTATCAAATAAAAAATCAATTAATGAATTAAATTAAATTTATCTATTTATGTATGTAAATAGATCGAATCTATCCACCATTATTTTGATGATCTAATGAATTATTTTTATATTATTCTTTAGATTCGATAAATTTATTTATTTTTAAATTAATAACAAATTAATTTTTTTGAAAATTAAGAAAACAATGTAATTCAAAATTTAGAAAAATCGAGTTTTATTAGAAAATTAAAAATCAAGTTTTTCCAAAAGTAGAATATTTTCGGAAAATCGAAAAATCGGTATTTTTTTGGAAAATCGATTTTTTTCGAAAAGCCAGGTATTTTTTTCGGAAAATCAAGTTTATTCGAAAAGTCGGGTTTTTTTGGAAAATCGAGTTTTTTTAGAAAATCGAAAAATCATTTTTTACAGAAAATCGAAAAATCAAGTTTTTTTTAAAAATTGAAAAATATCAAGTTTTTTCAGAAAATCGAGTTTTTTAGGAAAATCGAAAAGTTAAGTTTTTTGGAAAATCGGAAATCAAGTTGTTTTAGAAAATCGAGTTTTTTTTTTCGGAAAATCGAGTTTTTAAGGAAAATCGAAAAAATTGAGTTTTTCTAGAAAATTGAAAATCGAGTTTTTTTTTTCCGAAAAATCGAGTTTTTTTGGAAAATCGAAAAAGTCAAGTTATTTTTAGGAAAATCGGGTTTTTTAGGGAAAATCAAAAAATTGAGTTTTTCTGAAAAATGGAGTTTTTTCAGAAAATCGGAAAAAATCGAGTTTTTTTTGGGAAAAATGAGTTTTTTTTGGAAAATCCAAAATTTGAGTTTTTCTGGAAAATTAAAAATCGATTTTTTTCGAAAAATCGAAAATTGAGTTTTTTTCGGAATATCGAAAAATCGAGTTTTTTTGTAAAAAATCAAAAAATCGAGTTTTTTCAGAAATATGAAAAAAACGAGTTTATTGGAAAACCGAAATATCGAGTTTTTTCAAAAAATTGAAATATCTTCCGAAAATCGAAAAGTCGAGTTTTTTTGGAAAATCAAGTTTTTTCGGATAATCGAAAATTGAGTTTTTTCAGAAAATTAAAATCAAGTTTTTTTAGAAAATCGAAAAATCGAGTTTTTTAAGAAAATCAGAAAAAAAATCGGAAATATGTAAAAATCGGAATTTTTTTGAAA